GAGGCTCTGAGAGTAAGCTGGGTTTCGGTGCCCAGCTGCAGGCAGAGTGAGAGCCGCGGGGACGCCCCCAGGGCTGTGCGGAAGGGTGACTTGGAGGCTCGCGTCTCCGAGGGCTGCCTGCTCAGGGGGTCAGTGGGGAGGGCCCTGGGGGAAGAGCTGCCCCCCAGTGCCCCTGAGCCACTTCCTGCCCTGCTCCTGCTGTGCTGACAGTTACTCCACGGCCTGCTCCGGCTTCAAAGACTTCCTCTTTTCTATTTCTGGACGCAGACGAGGATTTAGACCCTGAGTCTCCCCTCGCACCGTGAACCCCAGCCCCGCAGAGCAGGGCTGCTGCTTTCCGTAGCTGTCAGCACCTCCAGACTGACGTTTGGAGGGAGGACATGGGGTTGTGGGGAGTGACCCTGGGTTTCATGGGGACTTGCTGGCTCCCGGCTGGCACGGCCCTTTCTGCCGCAGGGGATGCCAGCGCCCGTCTCAGCCACGGAGCCCCGCTCCGGCTCCACCTGGAGTGGAGGTGTCCCAGCTGGCAAAGGCACGACCACCAGGGACCAGAAAGTGGGTGACAAGGACGATTCCTCATGTCACAGATTCAGAGCAGTTCCACTTTGGAGAAAAGCAACGGGCCCCTGTGATCTGCGACCGGCGTCCTTCCCGGAAACTCAGCGAAGCCTCGCACCGCACCTTACACGGATGCTGATGCCGACCCTGGCCGGTGGGAGGGAGCCCCCTGCCCCCACGGCAAGCCTTTGTGACCCCACGGGAGTTTAATTTCACGTCTGCCGATTCTGTCTCTCGGGTCGCTGCTGTGCGCCGGGCCTCACCACCGCCCCGCTTTGCTGGGTCTCCGGCGACAGTAGCCCCTCGCATGGGGCACCTTTGTACCCAGACCGCTCAACATTCTTCTAAAAGCAACATGAAGCCTCCAGGCCTCCAGTAAAAACAGGGGGCCTCCCGTTTGGCTGAGTGCAGAGCTGGGGGCCAGGAATGTGCCCCCCCACCCCTTGGGCCCAGCTGCCTCCTCCACGTGGTCTGAATCGGGTTTTCCTTTGCAGCTTTGAAAGGGCGCTGGTCTTACCGCCGAGAAGGGTTACGGTGGGGAGGACGGGAGCCTCAAGGGGCTGCCTGACGTCCCCGGGGTCACCGTCCATTCCCGCCCGCCACGGCCCCTGGTCTGACCTCCGGGAAACCACGAGGCACGCTCCACCAATGTGCCGAATGCTCCGTACGTGCCGCCGATTTTAGTTTGCTTCGTGGAGGACAAAAGGAGCAGAAGCATATTGAAGTGGGGGAGGGGTGGAATGTTGAGAATTAATTCTTGGCACTTTGCAAACCAGATACTTGGCAAGAGAAAGAAAACCAATCAACGCAGTGATATATCGGGTTTCGTGCCCTGGACAGGTCTTTAAATGCATCCTACACAGAAGTTTCGGGGAGCAGGTGGCCTCCGCTAAGTGGGAGCATCGGTACGGGAGCTGCAGAGCTAGGTAACAGTCTCTCCCGAGAGAACGACGACTTCCCTTTTCCTCCTTTTTCCCCGTTTAGTGGAGCAAAATGCTGCTGCTGAGTGAGCAGCCGGCTGTCCCTCCGGAGCACGTCCTCCCTCAGAATTCCTCTGCGAGTGCCCCAGCTCCAGGGCCGGGCAGTGGCCCTTTCTGAGGCGCGCTCCGGCACGTAGCGAGTGAGGGGCTCGGAGCAGGTGCCGGATTTCTATAAATGGACAATTTATAAACAGAGCGACAACTGGGAAAACAGCGGTGGGGACGCTGGCATTCCGGGGCCCCGCTCAGGGTGACTGACAGCTGCCACTCTGAGAGAAAGGAGGCGCGGCCGACGCAGGCGAGGGCTGGGCCTCAGGTCGCACTGGATGCTGCTGGATGCTGCGGACAGGTCGGTGCAGGCCCTGCTTCCAGGAGCAGTGAGATGGCGGAGCCTTCTCCTCCCGCCTCCCCTGCACTGTCAGGTGGGAGGAAAACGGGGCGGAGACAGCGCGGGAGGGTTCGGAGCAGGCCAGTGCCCTAGGCAGCCAGAGCCGGGACCAGCAAGCCCTGCTCAAAGGCTGTGAGTGCCGGGGGTGGGAGGGGGTGGGAGTCTGCTCACCGTGTGGGGCAGAGCAGGGGAGACATGCAGCACACGCGTGGGTTTCTTCCCGTCGCGTGTAGGGGCTGCCTGCGCCCCAGAGGCTCCCCAGCCGCTCCACAGGGCTCCGTGTCAAAGCGTCCCCATAGGGCACTCTGCCGGTCACAGCTGCGGTTTCCATCGTCTCACGCGTGTTTGTGGACGAGCATCCCCCGCAGAGCAGTGCAGTGCAGGTCCCTGGGTTGCATGTGGTCTGCTGGGCAGAGCTCCCTGCAGGGCTGGGGGTGGCCACACCTGCTTGTCCAGCTGCAGGAGTGGCTTCTCCGGGAGATGTTGGCGTGGCTGGCTCTCCAGCTTCTCCCGACCACACCCTGTTGTTCTGTTCAGAGCAGCAGGCAGAGGCCTTTCCTCACCTTCCTTACAAGGAGTGAGCGCTGTGCCCGCCTGAGGGTTCGGTTCCTGAACTGGGTGCTCATCCCGGCCCCGGGGCCCACCCGGGTGGAGGTGGCCCAGACTGAGGAAGAAGCAGCAGGCTGGGTGCCCCAGGGTGGCACACATCCCGGACCAGAGCGGATCGAAGGCGTTGGGGGATGGGGACTTTGGTCCGTGGTGGGAAGTCTTATCTGTGTGTGCAAACTTCTGGGAATCTCGGCTTCATCGGCCGCGGTGACAAATCTTCCAAGGGCATCTCTTCATTACGGAGGCCAGTGCTGGGCGCAGGAAGCACAAGCGTGTGCAGGCAGGGCCCTGCCTGAGGGAGGTCGCAGTGTGGTCTGCAGCGCACGCTCGGGGCAAGGTGACAAGTCAAGGTCACGGGGTGTCCCGCGACAGATTAAACTCTGTCTGCCTAAAGTTTATATAGGATATGTCTTTGTTTTTTTAGAATTATGTTAGGAATAAAGTGTATTTTTCCCTTACAAAAGTATCGTGGTAAATATGGAAGAGTAAAGAGAAAAAGAATCACCCAGTTTCAAAGACCTTCTCTGTTAATGTTTTTGTGTATTTTTGTGCAGACCTTTCTATCAGGAGGGGGTTTTCCTTGTTTGTTCCTTTTTTTTAGGGGTTGGACAGGAAGAATGTGATACACATAATTATTTTAAAATTTAATTCAATTAAAATCAAAGTGGTCGGGAGGCTTCTGCCACCGTGCCGTCATTTGGAGTCCCCGGGAACCCTCCGCTCTGAGGCCCCGCACTCGTGGGGTTAGAGCTGGGGCGGGAAGAAGACACCTCGCTGGGGACTGAGGCGCGGGGAGAGCCAGCTGGCGCTTAGCCGAGCGCAGAGCCAGGCCGGACGCAGCCCAGGCGTCGCCCCAACGCGTCCTTCACGCGAGCCGCTCCCAGGCGCTGACCGCGGGCCTGGCCCCGGAGAAAAGTGAGGGTTGCCTGGGATTCCTGCACTTATCTGCCTCCGTGTAAAACAAGCCAATTCCTTAGCGAGAAAGGAAAACAAGGTGGCAAAATGGTTGTAAGTGTGTGCTCAGGAGTTACACTTCTGGGTCCCAGTACTGGCCCACTGATGACCAGCTCTGTAGCTTCGGGCAGTTTTTTTTAACCACCTGTGTATTCGCCACATGCCATTGGGCCCCCACTGTGTTTCTGTGGTGGGGACATGGCAGTGAGCCACGCGGAGCCCCTTCCCGAGAAGCCTGTGTGGCAGAGAGGACAGGCTCTGACATGGGAACGCAGACGTGCTCAGTCCGTGGCAATGGCGGCCGGAGGAAAGGAAAGCTGGATGGGGGCTGGTGCGGGGGGAGTCGCTGTTTTGTAAGAGTGACCCCTCACAGGCACAGCGATGTTTGGAGGGGACCTGAAGCCCCTCATTTTCCCCAGCCCCTCTCCACCCAGACGTGGTGGCAGTGCCCATAGTCCCAGACAATGACTGTCCCTGCAGGCAACACTGAGAATTCAGCGAGCAGGCGGGTCAACGAAAAGCGCTGCATGGATGGCAGCCATCGGCAGAACTTGTTTCCTCACTCGGCTGGGAAACCTACACAGGTTTGTAGGGACCTTCGCCCCCGAGAGGCCCAGGTGCTGGCCTGTGGCCTGCATGGCTCTGTGTGCTCAGGATGGACAGACAGAATCCTGGACCTCAGTGTGTGCTGAGCCCTGTTGGATGCAGGCCCAGACCCGCTGGCCTCCGGGTGGAGATCTGAGCGCCAGGCCAAGGACAGGCAGCCTCGGCGAAGATGGGAAGCCCAGGTCTCACTCCCTGGGCCACGCGAGGTCTCACTGCGGCCTTTAAACCAAGACTGTGCCCCAGGGGGGCCATCAGTGAGACTCGCGTGGTCAGATCCCCAGGGACCGAGTTTCTGTGGGCACAGCGCTGCCTTGCTGGGAGGCACCATGCGAAAGCTCATTAAACTTTGAGTAGGTGCCGTGTGCAAAGGTTACTGTGAAGACACTGGAAGGCGAGGGCCTTGCCTGCTGGGCATTTCCCAAGGGAATGCACCGTGCAGGGAAAGGCGCTCCCAGAGCTGTGGGGCCCCTCCGTCTTTCCACTGGTGTCTGAGAAACGGCTGCACTCGCAAATTGGATGCAGAGCTTAGGTCGGTATGAAAATGCCCACGGAAATATGTGCATTTTTTCAAGTGACGACAAATCGTCTCCTCAGTAAGTGTCTAGGGCATTTCCGCCCCCTCCGCCGTGACTTCTGAATGTGTTTATGTCTCTTTTGAACGAGAACCGTGTTCTCTAGCTGCTGTGTGGTGCTGCAGTCGTGCTCGGCAGCGTGGGTCTGGGTCTCCCTGGCGGGCTCTGCCATCCACGGTGTTTTCGGTTCACAGGCTGGCACCCCATCCATACCGGCCAGGGCTGATATCCACGGTGCTTCGACCTCCCCAGTGACATTACGACGGATCTGTTTTGTTCTGGTTTTCAGGTGGTTTGCTTCACAATGAGAAGTGGCTCTCTGGGCTGGCTCGGAGCAGCTGGACTCTCGGATGCCCCAGATCCCCTGACGCCCTGGAAGAGAGCTCACCATCGTTCCGAATCGCACCCGCCTCCTGTGGCGCAGCCTTGCTGCGCTCTGTTCTTCTGGTTGAGTGTGGACCTGTGTGCGGATTTGTGCTTGTGGAAGAAACAGCCCCCCCATTTTAAAGGTGCATGTTGGCCAAGGTGCGTTGGCCGGGCAGTGTGTCGAACTGTGGGGACCCAAGCCAGTCACAGGCGATGTGCGGTTCAGGCCTGTGCTTGGCTGCATCAGGGTCGGAGTCTGGGTGCGTGAGGCCACGTGTCCCCATCCCCTTTGCTGGGGCCTCTTCACCACCCCCCCAACACCACAGGGTCTTTAGGAGCAAAAAACGATTGGAATGTAAGGACCCTTCAGCCTGCTTTGCAGGGATTCCTGTCGGAAGGAGAGCTGGGTCTCAGTCGGTCCAGAAAACCTGGGGAAGCGGAGGGTGTGCCTTTGGCACACGGAGCAGCACGGACTTGCAGGAACAAGGAAGGTGTCAAATGTTCTGGTTGTCTGTTCTTTGCCTTGTTCAGACATTAAGTCCCCTGATAATGCAGTGAGTTCCCCAGGACTTTCTCAGCGACCAGATGGTGGGAAGCTAACAAATACAGGCAGACCTTGGAGACAGGGTGGGTGGACCCCAGACCGCCAGGATCGAGTGCAAACGAGTCAGCTCATCTTCCTGCTGGGGGGAGGGTCTTGCCGCCCGCTGTGAAAGCCGCAGCATCCGTGAAGCAGGGCGCAGGACTGTGGGTGCAGGAGGGGAGGTTTCTGACATGGCCGGGAACGTTCGCTCCGGAAGCCGAGGTGCCGTCACAGGTCTCAGCACAGCCAAGCCAGCCTGTCGCAACACCTGACATGGTAAGAGTCGCGTTCTCTTCATTCTAGGAGGTGAACTTCGCTGGATTGTAGCTCCACGGGCTGGGTTGAGAAAGACAGCTGGCTTCCATTTCCGAAGGAGTTTTTGTACCACCAACACATCGGTCTGTTCTTAGTCGCAGCGTTCTACGTTTAATTGGCTGCACTTAAAGTGTCTGATCTCGAAGAACAATGGAGAAGCGCATTACAATGGGTGCAATCAAACCAGTGGCTCACAGTTCCATTCCAAAGGGGAAATCTGTGCACGATTCCACTTAATGTGCTGCACTCAGAATGTTGAATCCTGGGAAGGATGGTGGTTATGCAGTCACTTAAAATCTGAGGCTTCACAGACGTTTCGTGGTTTGAGAATACGACTCACGGCGATGAGGGGAAAGCAGATCACAGACCTGTTTGGGAACAAACCCAAAGAAAAAGGTAAAGGCTTGAAATTAATAAGGAGAAAGATTAACGGTGATCATCCAGGATTAGGTGTGTGATTTTTAGTTCTCTCCTTTGTATTTTTCTGTATATTCTGTTAACGCACAACTTTTAATTTGTTCTCATAGAATTTTTTTAAAGAAAAAATACATAGGGAAAAATAAAATTAAAGGAAAGGTAATCTCACCTTTTATGTGAGGGAGGAGGGTCCTCACAGGCAGGAAGGAGAGCCGGGAGGAGGTGATGGGGTCACTGACGGGGCAGCCTTCTCCCCAAGTCTCACTGCAAGTCTCTCTTTCCGCTGCGGCCACGGAGCTGGCTTTTCCGAACCAGCCTCGCGGGAAACCCCGTCCGCATGGCCCGGCGCCTGCCTGAGCAGTGGTAACTCGGAGAGCGCGTTGTTGCAGGTGGCCGACCTACACACCGCGCTGCGCTCTGGGCCTGTGAGCACGGTCTGCGCCGGTCTTCCGTGGCGCCGCCGTGAAGTCGCCTGGTTTTCCCCGTGTGCCCGCAGGCACCTCCCCCCGACACCCACGCTCGGCTCTGTCACGATCCCCACTCCCGGAGGCTCCAGGCGCCCTGCAGTCAGGACTGACCTCCAGACCTGGCGATTGCCCCACACTCGCCAGGGGTCAGGTCCCTCCACCCCTCCCTGTTTTGCTCCCAGGTACTCTCTCACTCAGCTTGTTCAGAACTGCAGCTTTCATGCAGAGCTCCAGGCTGCTACCCCCCGTCTCCCAGTGACAGCGCTGTGAGGCTGCCCCAAAGGGGCGGGTCCTCAGGGAGTGACATGAGCGTCGGCTGTTGGGCCATGCCTGCCGAGGCTGCCGTGTGGAGAGGCTGGGCTCACTAACCAGCACCTGAGTCTCCAACGAGGGCTGCTTCAGGTGGGCTTCAGAGGGCTGTGCCAGGATTTTTTTTTAAGTCAGGGTTCACAGAGCAGCTGATAGAGTGGCTGTGATAATTTCTGTAAAATAACTTCTTGAAAATAATAATCACTCTCATAGATTCTGTGCTCTAGGCATGAAGGCAACACACCAGTGTTCCAAACACAATTTTCAAAGTGTGATGCGGCCTGAGGTGGGTGGGGACAGCAGGTATGCGGTACCGTGAACTCCTGGGCTGCTCTCGGGCTGGCGTCCCCCCGCAGCCCTGGGCCCGGCGCCGAGCGGGAGAACAGGTATAGCAGCGGTGCCCGGCTCTGGACTAGGCATCTGTCTCAGCCCGGAGATCTTTATGTTACTCACATGCCTTACAGAGGCACTAACTTACAGAGAACATTTTCTCTCGGAGGCATGGGTCCTGGGGAAGGGAGGACGAGATACGCCCCTAACGCGCCTCATCTGACCTGTCCGCCCCCTTTGTGACTCCAAGAATCGCCGGGCCGCACAGCCGAAGAACATCTCCTTACCGAGGCCGTGGGCTGAGTCCAGCCTTCCCAGGTGGCGCGGCGAGGTGGCTGCCGACCTGGTGAGATGCTGTGCTCTCCCAACAACACTCCTCTTTCCTACTCGGTAGGTCATTTACTCAACTTTTTTTCTTACAGTTGGAGACTTGGAGGCGATGGCCGCGGACAGGAGCGAGCTGGGACGATGCAGGGCGTCCGTGTCTCTCCTCTCTGTGCTGGGCGGGGCGTGCACACGGTCAAGTTGGGTAAGTTCCTCCGTTCATGTGGCTGTCATAAAGCAGCCCCGAACGCAGAATCCAAAGAACCACACGTCTCGCAAAGCTGCCTCTCAGAGCCTCTCCTCTGACACAGGAGGGGTCCCCAACCCCCCAGGAGTCGGGCGGACCCTCCCTCTCTTGGTCCTTCCCATTCGGTGGGGCTCGTTCTGGAACCCAGCTTTGGCCTCACTTCCTCTCACAATGGTGTCCTCGGTCTGAAGGAATGAGGGACGCCCTCCTCCTGTCCTTCCTTTTGCTTCTTCTTTCTACACGAGTTCTCTTCTGTCTTTACCTTTGAAGGAACGTACTTCTCAATCGTTCACTCTGTGCCTTTTTAAAAAAGCCATCGTCACCCTGTGAGAGCGCCTTATTTCTGGTTATTCGGAACAGAGACACTCTAACTCCTTTAGTTCTGGATCTTGGAACATGCACCCCCGCGCCCACCACTGTGGGAAGGGCCCAGCAGGACAGCATGACCGCCCGCAGTGGGTGGTGACTTCTCTGTCAGAGCTGGAGAGGGGAGACCCGCCTGCAGACTCCGTGGCACAGTCGTCGCAGTGCTTTGCGTTCCCCTTTGCCCGCGACTCAGGTATTTTTGCAGTCACTCGAAGAACTCTACGAACACCCACCCTGTCGGCAACGATGCGGGTCCCTCTTCTCCCCTAAACCAGGTGGTGCCGTCCTTCCTGGTTCAGAGGACAGCACCTGCCACTGAGCAGCACCCCGGCGACGGGTGTAAAGGAGGCACCTTGCAGGTGTCTCCCTTCTTGACAGGAGAAGCAAAGATGTGATAAAAGCAGGGGCCTGTGGGAAGAGGGGAGAAGGGTGTTGTTTTCTGAACCCCGAGTGCACCTGCCCCAGCACGGATGCGATGCGGGTGGAGATGACCCCGCCCCCAGGGAAAGCAGGCGGGAAAACCGGCAGGTCAGGCAGTTCCAGAGGGAGGCAGAGGCCGGAGTCAAAGCACAGTTGGTGGTTCAGGGACCGGGTGCTTCCCTCGGGTGCCGGGTGCAAGTAACCTCGAGAGGAGCTTCGGCCTCTCGACTGCCGCAGCGGATGCCCCTGCTGTTTGCCCTTGGATCTGATGTCAGGGGTCTCGAGTGGCGGTCCTCGCCCTGGAGTGGGTGTCAGAATCGCCTGTCGGGTTTTTGTGCCTCGTGGGTTCCAGCTCCACCGGAGAGTCCGGGTCTGCAGGGAGGGGCCGGGGCCCAGGAAGCTGCGTTCACGGAAATCCCTCTGGGTGGTTCGGATCCGGGCGTCTGTGGGAGGCAGCGATTTCGTGGTGCTTGTGATTGGTGCCGTTCTGATGGGATCTACGTGAAGAATCACCGGGAAAGGTGGGGATGGGCCGCCCTCGGCCCATAGAACAGTCACTTTATAAGGTCAGTGCATTCGACGCACTGAAGCAAGACTGTACTCACCTCATAACTGTACCCAACCAATGTCAGGGGCATGCCCAAGGGTCTCGTCCCTAGTGTCACGGAGGGTCTTTTTTAGTGACAGTCGGCTGGCTGCTCCCAGGGAATTTCTAGAACACGGCAATTTTGAGGACCTTCCTGCAGCATTAGCACACACATTTGGATGGAGGCTTTGAAATGAACGCGTCTACAGGCCCCCACCTCACTTCACTGAGGACCGACTGCATTGCCACCGTGAGTCCCCTGCCGGGCCACCGCCCGGGTTAAAAGCTGGCAGCTTTGCCTGTCAGGTCTAGTGACAGGAGATGGAAAGAGAGTGTCCCTGATGTTTACAGAGACCACGGTGTGACCAGTGCCACCTGTGATGGGCAGGGGCACCTGTGATGGGCGGGGACCCACAAGGAAGACGCAAGTGATGTGACTTAGCAGGGACAGTCATCTAGGCTGGCAAAACTGGCTTCACAGACAGCTGGAAGTGGGGTCTCAGAATTAGGGAGACCTCAATATCTTCGTCTCCATGAAAGACTTGAGAGGAGAGAGAGCGAGAAGGGCGAGAAGCGGGCGGGGCCCCTCCAGGGGCGGTGGAGGTGTCAGCGCGTGCTAAACCTCTTCACAGGCTCGGACCTGGGCCACCAGAGGAGAAGGGCTCTGCGTGGTCTGTAGCGGCGCCTTGGCCGAGTAGTTTCTGATGCGCAGAGCAGGCGATGAAACTTACGGGGCTGAAGCCGTCGACTGAGCAGTTTCCAGGATGCGGGAGTTCGCGCTGAGCCGGTGGTTCGAGGGCAGGGCAGAGCTGCGGCGATGCGGACCGTCTGCATCCCCGGAGGCGGGTCTCTAACTCGGCGGGGACCAGGCCGCGTTGCCTCTTCACTCCCAAAGGGAGAAGGGCAGTTGCTTACTTGCCGAATATGTTCTCACGACGTCCCAACTTGGTTTTGAACAGTCGGGCCAGTCACGAGCTACCTGCAGAGCGCCTCCCAGTGCGAGTGGGTAAAATAAAATCAAGGGGCCAGCCGTTCGGCCCGGTTGGGAGACTGGGGGATGGGCGGGCACAGGCGCTGGGGGCGCCACACAGAGGGTTTGGAACTGGAGGGACCAGCTGTAAACAGGGCCTGTCACTCTCTTACTGGGTGACCGTGAGGGTGCTCAGCTCCCGAGGGGCTGCAGCCGTCTGGTCTGTAGAGGGAGAAAGTACTCGGAAGGCAGCGGTGAGCGAGCGCGCACCTCGCCGGACCACTGAGAGAACTGAGGGGTGAGTTCGCACGGGCACCTGGGACAGTGCTGGGACCCTGCGCCCACCCACTAGCGTGTGCTCCAGAAAGGGCGACTCTTGTTCCCGTCTCTCGTGGATGGTTGGGACAAGCCACTTAGTCCGCCTTGGCCTCTTTTCCTTTATCTGACCCTGCATTTCATGGGTTTCTTTGTGGTGAGAATGGAAAGAACTTTAGGCAGTGCCTGGCCTTCCACACACAAAAAGACACATGGACTCTGGCCTGGGCGTCTGGGGCGCTCCGAGCCCCTCGGTGTGCGGCTCCCCCTCCGTGCCAGTGTGGGAGTGGGGGCACCACGCAGAGCATGAAACACCTTCGGGGGCCGCCCAGGGGCGTGCTCCAAGGAGGAGGACCGCAGGTTTGTGGGGAGCGCAGCCGAGGCTGCTTGGAGGCAGTGGGCGAGGAGGGGCCCTGCAGGCTCCGGGTGGGCACGGGGTGGGGCCTGGCAGGGCGGCCTCCGTCTACAGAGGTCCCGGGGACAAGGCCACAAGGGCAGAGGAAACGTCGCTGGTTCTCTCCATGGTCGTCAGGAGCGGCAGCCGAGTACCAGAGGATGACGGACGATGCCTGTGGGTGCTGCAAGCTACGTTCTCCTTCCCCTTGGTGATAGAACCCTGGTTCCGATGGACAAACGAGAGGCCCGGCCCCAGAAGTGACTCATGACTGGTCTGTCAGTCACTGTGATTGATCCTTCCTCCCCAGGGATGGGTCTGGGGGGGTCACATGACCCGTTCTGGACAAGAACGCATAAAGAGGACATTTGGTGGCTGTTTCTGGATAATATTTGTGTTCCGGGAGGTAAGCAGTCATCAGGAGAAAGCTCCCCCTTCCACCTTGTCTTTTCAGTTTTTCTCTCATCCGATCACCTTGCTGTCCAGGGCCCTGTCGTCTGAAGAACTTGTGACTCTGAGGGGAACGTGGTGGACACCGTGGGAGCCCGAGTCCTCCAGGTGCCTGAGCTACAAACCAGCCCCGCCGGGTCGTCAGGCTCCTTACTCCCGTCGTGTGTGCGGGCCGAGCCACTGCCGCTCCAGTGGACAGTGCCGATTACAGATGGCCCTGGTGACGACGGCGATGGCCTCACCTGGAGTCCTCACCGTGTGCCTGCCGGGACTCCGCAGGTCCCATCTCCCTGACCCCTCTCGAGAACCGTGAGGGGTCGTGGTTATCGTCATTGTCCCTGCTTTACATTGGAGGAGACTGAGGCACAAAGACATTAACTTGCCCAATGTCACGAAGACAGTAAGTCCTAGAGTCAGCGTCGATGGTGAGGCAGCTGGTCCCACCCCACGTTCAACGACCTTTACGTGGCCCCAAGCCCCCGGCTCAAAACCAGCTCCGTCCCAAGCACCTCCCGGCGGCCCGGTCCTCCCTGCTCCTTCCGCAGCACCTCAGCCCTTCCCCACGGGGGCTCCTCGGTTTTGCTCCTGCGAGCACGTGGGGCTCAGACCACGCCGCACACGCACACGGCTCCGCTGAGCCCCGAGGACACCTGACGAAGCTCCTACTGTGGCAGCGGTGCCACCCTCGCCGGGTGCGAGGCCTCAGGACCCTCCGCTGCGCCCACAGCGCCTGGCCTGGCGGGGAGCCTGCCCTCGGGTCCTGCTGGGTTCCCGGAACAGTGTCTCACACTAGAGCCGTGTCGCGGGTGGCACACGGCTGGCACTCGGAGTTGTTGACTGAACGACTCACGCACATCTTGGGTCCTGTCCCCTGAGCAGCTGTGGCTGCCTCTGAAGTCCCACCGCCCGCTGCCTCCCCAGCACAGTTCTGGCCACTCCGCGTGGGGGTGGAAACAGCCAGCGAGCAGCAGTGGGCGGGAACGATGCCCTTGGAATTCTTCTCCTCGCAGAAGTTGAGCGTGAAGGACGACTTTCTATTAAGAAGTGATTTGTAATACTGGTATTTATTGGATGGGATACATTGTATGCAATGCTTGCGTTTCATCAACCAGGTCAACAGAGAGTCCTCAGACCTGAAAACAGTTCTTCATGTGATAGCATCCGTTCTCACCAGCGGGTGCACTGCTGCACGGGGGTGGTGGGCTTGCTCAGGGCAGCCATGCGCCCGAGTCACCGCCTGCTCCAGCTCGGCACAGGTGGCACCTAAGGAATCCCAGGACGGTCTCGGGTGGAGCGCCCGGTAGCGTGCTCAGCCTGTGGACACTTTCTCCTGTCCCTGCAGGATTTCCCCTGCCATGCCTACCCCTACAATTCCCCTCACAAATCCACAAAGCGGTGACTTTAGACAGCAACTACATTGGGGGGAGGGGAGATTTTCCCCTAACA